GATGTATGTGCGAGACACCGTCATGATTAGTGTCTGAATCACAAATATTGCAAGACTGAGATAACAGGCTTTGATTATAGCATGAGGTGTAGAGACTGCTACAGAAATAACCTGAAATGTTAAAGAGGGAGATATTTTTGATTAGAGACATTCAGGCTCATAGTTTTGAGGTCACTGGACTCAAAAGAACTCATTGTTTTATTTTTCTGGAATGCACTAGTTTGGTGAAATTATTTAATAATTAGAATACAGGAAAAGAAACAAAAATTATTTTCTTGCATAAGGACAAAAATGTAAGTTTCGGAGTTTTTATTTAAATACTTTTTATGTTCGGAAAGCTAACGTTGATCAAAGCAGGGGGTTGCTCTACTTTTCCAGCTGCCCCACCTGTGACTGGGGCAGATGTAAGGGATAAGGATGGGAGTTCAATTCAGGGGAGAAAAAAAAAAGCATATTTAGGTCTTGGAGCCAAGCCACGTTCTCCAATCCAGCTTTTCAATTGGGTTAGAACCTGGAATGGCCCAAGGATGATCTCCAGCAACACGGACCAGACATCAAAATATCACTGGATCAACCATTAAGGCCAGGAATTGATAAAGAATGATCAAATTCAGCTGTTCAGTAGTGTGAGGTCACCAGCATTATCAACGACTCAATCTAGTGTGAACCAACCAATCTACAAAAACAAAACAAAACGAGACAAAACAACCCTCCCCCACCCCATTTTTTCTTTTTTGTTTGTTTGTTTTGTTGCTGTTTTTTGCTAAGAAGCCAATGGGAGAAAATTCATTTTTGTCAGCATGTTTAGTTTCGTTTGTCATTGTTAGAATGTGTGAGGTATGATGCTGGCCTGTCCAAGTTCACTGCCTTGGGCCAGGTGTGGCCATAGAGAAATAAGACCAGCCTCCCAGGATGAGAGTTTAGGTCATTGCTGTAGCCACAGCTCATCTGCTCTGATCCATGAACACTAGTGAGCAGCAAAAGCCTAAACGATGTTTGGAGTTGATACAGCACCTCACTTAATGATCTGTGTATATAATTCTCTTTGGGTGCTTTTATCATGCAGAAAATGTGCAGAAATATTTTTTGCCTTAGGGATAAAAGAGTAACTCAAATGAGCAATGCATCACTTGGCTAGGTGTGAGAGGTATCCTTTTTTGATGTACTGATAGTTTCCCTGTCTAAGCGGTAGACGGCACAGGAATACAGGAGTGTTATGAGTTAAAATTAGAAGCATCAGGCAGGATGAGAACTGGCAGGAACTGAGGACCAATGAAAAGCCCAACAGAGCAAAGATCTATGGAGCCCAACAGATCAAAGTTTCAATCCTACCCCCCACTGTGAACCTCACACAAGTCACTTAGGTTTAGTGAGCCTCCGTTTCCTCATCTGATAAATAAAGATAACCATAGCTTCTTGCAGGGGTAAATCATTTTGGGTGGGTAACGCTTTAGCACGGTGTCTGGCACATAGTTGGCACTTGGTAAATGCACAACTACACCTAAATCTCCTTTGGGATTTGATAGGGCAATGCTATCCAATGGTATGCAGTTGTCAGTGGTCTTTAGGGCGAGATGAGGTTGGGCAGCCTAATTCTTACTTCATATTTACATATCATGGTCTGAGGCAGACTCTCAAGTCCTTGAAGGAAAAGAAAAGAACATCACCACATTTTGCTCAGGAAAGTTTGCCAGAGGTGAATCCCAAAGTCAGAAACTAACCGCAGGGAGCATAATGGCTGAGAAAGCCCCTCCCCTACGCTCGGGACATGCCTGGCCCGACACTGCCCTCTGCTGGTGGTCACAATAATCACCACCACCACCACCCACAACCTCACCCAAGGTGGTGCTGAGAGCCATGCGCCTGTGCCAGCCTCCTATTTTGTTTTCACATCTCATGGTTGGAAGGCACCCCATGATTCTTAGAGCTGCTTGTGAAGATGCTGAACCTGCCAAGTATCCAGGCCGAGGCAGGGAGCGAGGCCAGCGGGGTCCGGTGGCCGCGCACCCAGGGCAATCCTTTGAGTCGCTGCAGCAAACGCAAACCCCGCAACCTGCGAAACCCAGAGCGATCTCCTTGTGTGGACTTGACTAAGTCTCATATTGTGTTTCCATGTCCTCATCCACCCTGCTCCCAATCCTTGTTTAGTTTCTTTTCAGGATTTGCTTCTGCTTGGTATTTTATTATCCTTAACTCCAGCCCTTTATCACCCTTCTCTTCTTTTATCTTTCCAAAGTCAGTGATTTGTTTTTACCCCAGTTTGTAATGGTCACTTCAGTGGACACTTAACTTACCTAGTACATCTTTGTCCTTCTAGGAGCAGCTACCCCTGCCTCTTGGAAAATGCCTTCTCCCTTACCCCAACGTGGTCCATTCAGGAGCTTATATGACTGACGTCTCTGACCTCTAACTATAGTGAGTGGGAATATGTCCCAAGCTGTGCCACCCCGTGACCCTCAACACACATACACAGTGACAGGTGTTCCAGGATCCAGCCTGGGAAGGTCAGAGTCCTCATTCTTCGTGCTGGGAGAACTCATTCATTTTGGTGGCCAAGCTGGGAAGAAATGCTCCCGGTGTAAAGACATGCTTCCTGGGAGAAGAATATCGGGCTGCAGCAAGGCAACTGTCAGCCACAGGAGGGAGCAGCAGCGATGGATGGGGAAGGTGCGTCCTTGGTTCTGCTCCCAGCGCCACTTGTGTCTCTGCGCCCATGCAGGAGCCACCAGAGCCTTCTCTCTGCCTAGAGTACCAGGCTTGCACGTCTTCGTTCTCAAAAGTGTCTTGATTTGCACAGATTTTAAATGTCACCAAATCTCCCCATAAAGACAAACATAGCAAAACAACATCCCAAGGACAACCTCTACAACAAAACTAAGTGACAAAGTATCCTTATAAATGTCAAGGGAAAAGCCTGTGGGACAACCCAACCTGCTCTAAGGAGCCACATGACCTTAGCCTCTGTATGGGGCAGCAGAGGGTGAGCAGTCGTGACCCTCTTTAAGAATGCCAACACCTTGAGACCCTTTACACTCATCTCCCTCTCCCAACTCACGTGACACCTTGTCCTAATTTGGGTTTTTGTTAAAAAGTAGTATTCTTGCCAAAAAAAAAAAGTTTAACTTGAATCTAACAAGGAAGGAAAATCAGACAAATCCAAAATTCCTCCAGTTTACAAGATAGCTGGCTGGGCTCTTCAAGAATGTCAACATCATGAAAGTCCAAACAAAACAAAAAGGCAAGGATATTACTCTTAGTGGAGAGAAAAGAAATATGGCAGCCAAATGCACTGCTTGGACCTTGATTAGATTTTTATTTCAAAAAAGTTATAAAAGATAATTTTTTGGCAAATGATAAAATCTGAAAATAATTGTGGTTCTATAGGAGCGTATTCTATACATGCTGAATTATTCAAGGGTGAAGTGTCATGATGTGAGCAATTCACTTTCAACTGGTTCAGCAAAAACAAAAACAAAATAGTAATCTACAATTCTCAAGTGAAAATAAAGTGAATGTTCCAAATGTTAGTGATTAAAGAATCAAATGAAGGGCACACAGATATTCACTATTTCAATGTTACTGTAGCTTTGAGATTTTTTTATTATAAACACTTGGCTTATATCCATATGATGGAATGCTATTCAACAATAAAAAAAAGGAACAAACTATGGACATATGTGAATGAACCTCAAAAATATTATACTCAATAAATGAAGCAAAACTGAAGAGACCACATATTGAATGACCTCATTTATGAGCACTATCCATAAAGGCAAAGGTAAAAATACATAAAGTAGATTAGTGGTTGTCTGTGCAGAGGTGGTAACAAATCAAAATTAAATGAATGTGCCTGGGGAATCAGACCTCACAAGGATGAGACCACCAAGGTGAAAAGAGAGAACAAGAAAAGGAGAACAGTGACCAAACTCTGAGGAGCTGCAATGTAAAAAGAGAAGAGAAGTCAATGGAAGTTACCAAAAGGTGAGGTTGAGAGGAGGGAGAAAACTTAGAACCCCAATAAGGAGATAGTTTCTAGAAAAGAGGAATGGTCAACAGGTGGAACACCACAGAGAAATCTTGAAAGATGTCATTGGATCTGGCTATTAGAAGGTCTTGGATGAACTTAGGAATAGCTGTTATGGTAAAAGGACGACATCAAAAGTCAAATTGCAGTTCCTACATTTGCCCAACCCTGGTCTAAGCTGAAGCTTCCTAAGAACCTCCCTGCTTCCTCCTTACGCTTGTTGCTCTGCATTTCCCATGCTGCCGTAGCCAGAGTGATCTTTCTAAAATGAAAGTTATATCACATGGATCCTCTACTCAAAACCCTCCAAAAGCATTTCCTACACTAAGAATAAGACCCAAAGTCTGCACCATGACCTACAGGGACCTGACGTGGCCTTGTGTTAGCTCAGGTCCTTCAAGAAGGAGACACTGAGACACTGAGATGAGATTAGACATGCATGAAATTTACTGGGGGAAGCATCTGTTACAGATGAAGAGGAGGAAGCAGGACTATAGGAAAATCTTTCATATGTGAAGGTCTGACATTTGTGAAAGGAGATAGAGAAGGAAGGGATTGGGTAGAAGGACCTTTGCAATTCTAAGAAATTTTGGGCAGATTGATGGGGGGTCCTTCAGCCAAAGTCACCCATTAGAGGAATGGGCCTGCACTAGGACCCCTACCTTGTTCAGTCATTGGCTAGGCTTAGTCTGGGAGAAATGAAGCTTTGGCACCAATCAGTGGTGGCAGCAGCTGGGGCCATGGGTTAACTATGCTCCCAGCAGCAGGAGATCTGAATGGTGAATTTTCATACCACTTGGTACCTCTTAGACCTCATCTGCTGCTCTCCCCATCACTCACGTTTGATCTAAGTACTCTGGCTCTTTGCTGTTTTTCCAGCATCATGAGCATGTACCTGCCTCAGAGCTTTTATCCTTGCTGTTTCCTCCACCTGGAATGCTTGACTCTCAGATATCTTCATGGCCAGCTCCCTTACTTTCTTTAGGTTTCTGCTCAAATTCCGTCTGATCAGAAAGGCATTTCCAGACCACTCTATGTAAAATGGCGCCGTCATCACTCTTGGTGCCCTTAACCTTCTTGAACATTTCCATAGAATGTATCACTACCTGACATTATTTATAGCTATTTATTTATTTTTGTCTGTGGCACTTCACAGGAATATACGTTCAATAAGGGTAGAAACTTTGCCTTGTTTTGTTCATGCGTGTCTCCAGTGCCTAGAGGAGTGCATCTCCGGGCTCATGAATGATCCTGGATCCTTTTTGAATACATGTTAAGTAAGTGATGAACACCTCTTATGTCCACAGAGCAAGTGCTCTGAGAGTGCTCCTTTAATGAACGAATGAATCAATCACTGTTTCAGGAGCTGGGGATACAACACTGAACAAGACAAAGTCCCCGCTGTCATGCAGCATACATTCTTTAATAAAAACAAAAGATTGACTGTTGGCTGCTAGAGTCTAACAGATCATTTATGGAAGCAGAGGTATCTTGTCCTAACTTCATTTAAGTGAACTTTAAAGGAGCATGCTGGTATAGGAGACTTTCCCAGGAAAGAATATAACACAGGCCATGGGTTTAACAAGCCCAGTGGCCTTTGTTTTTATTCTTGTGTTTATGTTTCAATTCTAGAAGTCAAGCATTGGTTTACACTGTGCTTGAAGCCTTTCCCAGTGGTGTCTCCTTACAAAAACATTATCTGAGCTTGGCTTCTGTGGGGTAAATTCTGAGACTTATAAAACAAACATTTTCTTAAAATACCAACCCTATTCTATTTAACAGAATCAAACATTGTCTGAGGTTTTTGTCCAAGAAAGTCATTGCTTCACCAACTGCCATTTTTACTCCTCCCAATATCATCTAAAGATCTGGGAGCCCATGCTCTGTGTCATCGGTAGACACATGACAAGAAGCTTCCATCCTGAAGCTGAATTTTGGCCACTGCATGTTTGCTGGTGGTCTCTGGGAACCCCCTCTATGGGATTATAGAAAGGCATCTCATGTAAGACATAAAAAGAATGCAGAAGAAGCCACATGTGAAAACGAATGCCAAGGAGTTCCGGGGGTCTGAAAATTTAGGACAAATTTACCTTCAAGGAGACACAATTCTTATGAGAAAAGATTAGGAAAATATCTTGCCAATTACATGGTGGAGACATCTCAAAATATAAGTATCAGACCACAAACATGAGATTCATTGTTAATCCTTTGGGGTCACTGATAAGTCCCTTTTTGCATTGCATGGGTTTCCTTATGTGATAGAAGAGGTACTACTGATTACTATGTAGAAGTCAACCTCTGCTCTTATTAACACTTGGACTTGAAACCAAATAGGTCTAGAAAGATTGATAGAAATCAAAATGATGGATAAGGTGATTAAGCAAGCACATATATTTGCCAATCTTTTAAAACTTAATTTCCTGGACTTTCCATTCGTGACCCATCAGGGTGGCCACTTGGGCTGTCAGGATGTTTCAAGAGGCTGAGGCTTGGAACACAGCAGCTCTGCATGCTGAGTGGGCCAGGCGGCCTGTCTGGAAAAGTGGATTGGAATTGATACAATAAATAGTTCCTCACGGTTATGCCAGGGATTTTTCCCCTCAGCCACCCTCCTTTCATGACTCTTTGTGAGGGTTATTCCAGTGAAGCTGGAGGGGAATGGAGCCCATTAGATATTTCCTAAAAAGACTTAAACTTTGTTCTTCAGGGAAATTGGTAGTGAAGGATGTGATTTTAAATAGAAATTTCTGGCCTAGGTTTCTAATCCTCAAAATCCTACCTCGAGCCAGACCATTTTCCCGCTTTTAAAAATCATAACGCTGAGTCTTAACAGGGTGAATAGCATGTGTAAAAACTAAATTCATGCTTTTAAAGTGAATGTACGGACGTGTGGCTTCCAATGCTAACCAGCACTGCAGCTCCAGTTCGGCTCAGCAGCGATGGCCATGAAGAGGGGCCACGGGATCAAATAACCACTTAGCCTTTCCTTTGACGTAAGCCGAGGTCAGACAGTTTAGGGGGGAGAAGACCAGAGGCGATCACGACAAGAGATTAAAAAAATAAATAAATAAATAAATAAAGAGGACTTTGCCATAGCGTTTGAATTCACTTCTTGGAGCCCTTACCCCCCCACCCCCACCCCTCCCTCCTTTGGTCAGAAAAGAAATGTGAATCCAGAAAGGCTTTGAGGCCACAAAGTTTAGGTACCACCAGAGCCTGGACTAGAACCCGCGTCTCTTACTTCTAGCCTATCACTCTCCTCACACAGGTATCATCAGGAGACAGAGATGTGACCAGGCCAAAGCCCAGGATTGACATGTGAACACCGAGAGGAAGGGGACACATGTGAGGGGAGAGGTGGTGGGACCTGGCAATGCACTGAAAATATATGAAATATGGCTAAGTGAAATACAAGGTAGTGTTGTTTGGCAGACGCATTGCCTTTTTATTTCAGCTTATTAAGAAATTCATATTCTCCTGCTGACCACGAAAACGCCTGGAAGTGGAAGCCGGACTAAAACAGGAGACCTTCCTCGGCACACCACACCGCCTGAGGGAACTGTCGTTTCTGAGAACTTTTCCAGACTCTCACTTATATAAATGGCTTAAACTCCCAAACCTAAAATCTCTTGGGAATGTGAAAGAAGTTGTTTCAAATCACCAGAGCACTGGATTACTCACCAATTTGGAATTTAGTGAAAATGAAAACCGTAAGAGTTTTAAGTTGGGTGTCTATGTGCCTCTTAAAATATTTGACCGAGTTTGCAAAAATACTTAATTATACCCATTTCTGCTTCGCATTCCTAAATCCTGGGTTGGGTGTAGACTGGCACTGGTGAGAAGAGAGCGAAGAGCATCATAGAGCTAAGTCTGAGATGATCGTGGACTCTTCCATTGGGGATTTTCATCTGCTGGAAGCCTAAAAATGTCCCCCTGGACAGACTGGCAGCAGGAACGCCTCTTCTGGTAGGAGTGGGGGTGGGATGAGAAGAGAACAGTTTAAAAAGACCCTGATTGAGTATTTGGGATAAAGCAGTTTCCGAATAACTTTAAAACAAATACAAAGAGTCATTTATTGAGTCCCTACTGTGTGCCAGTGTGCCTGAGACACTTCAATGGGAGGTAGGATGACTAGGACCCTGCCTTCTTCGGGACCATTGTCCCCTCCCAGGCCCTCAGAACCAAGTATAATTAGAAACAATCAGTCCAGAGCTACATCTCGGTGACTTGGGTCAGTACCCCAGATGTGGCTTATCAAAAAGAGGCCTGTTTAAACCATTCCTCACAAGGGTTCAGCCTTGGCCATTTGAGATAAGTAGCTAAATGTGTGAGGTTGAATCCTCTCTTTTATACTCAACCCCAGAAACGCTTATTGTTCACATTGTCCATTGAGACACACAAAGAAGGGATTAAAAACATAGTTGCCCATGAGGTCGCTCGGTCTGGAGGAAGCCTGGAAAGGCAGAGACGCATGCACTATGGGTGTCTGTGTGTGGGCATGTGCCACATGCACAATGCAACTGTGAGACCACTGTCTGAGGCAGAGACACTTAGGTGGCTGCACAGTATGGTGCTGCCCGCTGAGCCACTTCCTGGAAAGCAGGAAAGGAGAGGCAGTATGATGTCACGGGAGGAGCACAGGATTTTGTACTGGTGGCTCTGCCATTTATGGGCTCTGTGATCTTGAACAAGTCATTGCATATCTCCCAGCCTCGGTTTCTTCATCTGTAAAATGGAGATGATTATGCCTGCCTTACAGGGTTTTATGAGGATGGGTTGAAATGGTATTTGACAGCACCTAGCATGGAACATTACCGACATATAGACATAAACACTGTAGACATTTGGACATTTGGGAAATGTAAATTCTGCCCCCAGGTTGACTGAATCTGGCTGCTTATAACAAGGGAAGACAATAGGAGTGCTGCAGAGATATAAGCCATCCACTGTCTTCTCAGATTCCAACTCTACACAGCCAGAGGTGCTGTGGTGAAAATGCCGAGTGATGGATGGGGGGCAGCCATCCTCTGTGCTGGTCCTGATTTCCTCACTTCCTGGTGAGGTGACCTCAGACAAGCCTTTTACCCTCTCTAGACTTAAGTTCTCTCATTTGCAAATTGTCCTTCTGTAACTCCCAAAGTAAAGATCAATAAAAGGTATCGGGATTAGGAAGGTAGAAATAACTGTTTGTATTTGCAGGAAACGTTATCTTGCATATTCTTGTATGCAGAAAATCCTAAGAAATCCACAAAATACTATCAGAACTAATAAACAAGTTCAGCAAGGTAGCCAGACACAAGATCAATGCCCCCAAATGAATTGTGTTTTCATATGCTGCAAAAATGAAATTAAGAAAATAATTCCACTCACAATAACATCAAAAAGAATAAAATGCTTAAAAATATTTAACAAAAGAAGTGCAATACTTGTACACTGAAAACTATAAAGCTTTGCTGAAATAATTTGGAACCCGAATAAATGGAGATATCTTATGTTTATGAATCAGAAGACTTAATATTGTTAAGATGGCAATACTTCCTAAACTATTCCATAGATTCAACACAGTTCCTGTCAAAAACCTAGCTGGGTTTGTTTTGTTTTGGTTCATAAGTTGGCAAGCACACCCTAAAACTCTTTCACAAATACAAGTGATACAAAATAGCCAAAACAATCTTCAAAAAGAAGTACAAAGTGAGAAGAATTACACATCCCAATTTCAAACTTACTAGAAACCTAAGTAATCATGACAGTGTGGTCCTGGCATAAGGATGCCAAAAGGAATACAACTGAGAGCCCAGGAACAAACTAACATTTATAGTCAACAAAAGTGTCAAGATGGGCCAGCCGTGTGGCACGTTGGTTAGGAGTTGGCTTAGGATGACAGCTCTGAGCAGCAGGGCCCCGGTTCGGATCCCACATGAGGGCCAGTGACGCTACACCCTCTATAGCTAAGATGGTGGACAGCAGCTTGACCTGGAGCAGGGCTGCCATGAGTTGCCGGTGATGGTCTAGGCTGCAGTGGGTGGGCTGGCAGCGGGCGTGAGGTTTTGTGAGCTGCTGTGAGCCTCCGGGAGCAGCCATCCAA